ATATATATATATATATATATATATATATATATATATATATATATATATATATATATATATATATACGCGCTCATATATATGCATAAGCACATATATGATGGCGTATGTATTCTTACATATGTATAGATATGTATTCATAATATGCAAATTTCAAACATGNAGGGATATGACGGGGTGAGCTATTCTGCGGCTATGAGGAGGAATGTATAGATATACAACTATGTGTGTACTGGGCAGTGTAGAGTGCATGACTGCTGCTGAATTTCTTTCGTATTTCGGCGGATATTTCGCTGAAATATCTTCAGTATATCAGGGCGAATTGATGCGTCGTGCCTTGGGAGCCCTGTTGGCTTCATGTGCCAATTGGTTCATCACCCACTTCATCCTTCCCTGCGTTGCTATGAGTGCAGTGCACAACTCGTGCGCCCCATAGCTCTTTGGTGGGTCACCCATAAGAGGAGCTGCGAGGGCTGAACCGAAGTCTGCCTCGGGCACCAAGTCGGCCATGATGGTCATCACTGCAGTGTATGAGAGGAAATGTGTCAACACAGGATTCAAGAAAACTGAATCCACGTTGCTCAAGCTGGCGAGGGCCCCAAAGGTCCGCTTCAAAAAGTTCCCCGCGTGCAGATCCGTGCGGGTCCAGAGTCGCCCAAAGAAGTTCGGCTCCGTTGGATTCTTAGAGGCAACGACAACGTGTTCAAGGTCTTCTAGCATAATCTGCATGCAGAGCAACATGGTGATACTGCACATAAGCTTCTTCCTATGCCATCCTCATTGGGCTGAGTGCGGCATTGCCGAAAATGGATTAAGTAATAGTCAACTGCAGTGCAACGTGCTTTCTCATGCCTTGTCTCATAAACACGTCATAAACACCTAGTGCTGAAATGAATGCTAAAAGACGGGAAGGGGGATGTGTTTTTGAGTCTGCTGTTTTCGGGGCTCATGTTGATGGGTTGTTTTTTAACACTTAAGTTACGGTGAGCAGCTAAATTTAGGACCGCTTCCTGAAGCAGACGATAAAATTAACGCGTGTCAACTGACCCTGTAATGGAAGGGTTTCCTCCATTGCAACCCGTGGCCGAGCGCTGGCTCGCCGTTAAGTGTGGTGACTGGATCCATACTGGTGGCGATGTCGTGGATCAGCACGCCGGTGTTCATGAACTCTTTGTATGCGGCCTCGCTTCCCCACTGTTCATAACAACCAACAAACGCACAAGATGATACGGTTCACGAAGTGCAATGCTACTGCGTTACAACGTATACACTGCTCTGAACAGGCACAGGCCACCGCAAAGTACAAAGCTGAACTGCCTCTGCTGGCTCACCGCCGGGGTACCGAAGGTCACACAACGAATTTGAAGCAGCCCTGCATCTAGCAACGAGCGAGCCTGGTTGGCGTAGTACCAGGCTGCTATTTGCGCCACGGCTCCACCGAGAGAATGACCGGTGAACAGTACCACTTGCCGCTTCTGTGTGGCTTCAGCTTTCGCTGCAACTTCCTTCAGGTCATCATTGAGCATTTCCTTGAATATGCGTTTAAATGCAAACAGAAAACCCGAATGAACTTTGGCCTCTGCGGAAGGCGACAGCTCTGGGTCTACAGTCGTTTCCCACATGGTATTGAGGAGCCACATCTGCAAGGNTCTGCGGAAGGCGACAGCTCTGGGTCTACAGTCGTTTCCCACATGGTATTGAGGAGCCACATCTGCAAGGAGGTAATTGCACAAAGATTTGTTCTCAGGAGAGAGCAACTAACTAGAGTCTGCCTGGTGAAGCAAGGATGAAGAGAAGGTTCGTGTTGGCAGCATATTCTTGGAACATACACAGCTATGCTGATGAGGCGGCGCCCCGGGTGCGAAACTGCATCGTCAGCAAGGCAATGAATATCTTGATAATTTTCGTTAAACGATGAGATCCGAATTACGCGTACCTTAGGAGAGGCTGTGCCTCGAACCGCCCATATCTTGTCAACGTAGTCGTTGTTCTTCTCGTCAGTCTCCCAAGTCACCCATTCGGGTTGTCTTTCAAGCCGGAAGAGCCAAGGCGTTTCTATAGGCCGGGTATACGTTGCGTCAACACCGCATTTGTCTTGTTGCACCTTGGGGGGGCAGGGAACAGATGCTTCGCTTGCTGGGCAGTTCCAGCCTAGAACCCCGAGGGATCTCCAGAAATCTATGCGGCCCCACTGCGCCGTCAGATGCCCTTTAGGCACCTTCAGCTTCTCAAAGAACTCAAGGTCTGTCAGGTGCCGAGGGCAAGACTCAGAAATCTGACTGTCGGGGGGTTTGCTGGGGTCCACTCGAAAACGCGGTGTGAGGTCGTCGTGCCGCAACGGACCTGCAAGCCAGAAGTCTGGTGCTCTTTCTTCTGCATAACTAGGGTGGGGATGTGTGCAAGCAGACATCTAGGAAACGATACACCAACATAGGCTTGTGCATTGGGTGAAGCTGGGGTTGGTTGGTTGGGTGGGCAGTACCTGCTTCCGCTACTAGCACGGTTCCGACGCGCGTGACCTTCCAGGGCTTGAAGAAGAAAGTCTCTGCGTTGAGGCGATGACTCCACTGCCACATGGATCCGACATCAAACAATGTCAGCTGCAAAGCCCAAAGGTTATGCCACGAGTCGTACACTTGTTTCTTCCAGTCTGCTGGGAAGCTGAACTTTGCGCGCTCTCCGACGGCGCGGTGCGTCGTTCTATTTCCGTCATACACGCGGGGTTGCCAGTCTGAAGGGATGTTCTTGGGAAATGCGACTTCAGCCCCAGCGCTTCGCAAGTAATCATAAATAGGATAATCCTTGTAGTCCGGGCTGTCGGGGCTCGGGTGGCGCGCTGCGTCTTGCCAGGACTTCTCAGGGTATTCTTCGTACGTGGTGCACACGGTGGCTGCAACCGCACGTCGCATGCATTGTAATTGTACACTGGAATAGGCGACACAGTGCTCATAATTGGGTAAAATAGAAAAACCGCAACGAATGCCCAAGGGTCTAGCACCAAAGGTCAGCAAGATGATAGTATGGGGTTCGAAGCCACAGAGTGTTTGGGACAAACCAAATTGAATGAGATCCGTGAGAGGACGTAGAAGTTTCAGGTCTTTGACGACGATTTGGTTCAAGGCTTCGCCGACGTTCGCCTCCAGCATATCGATATTCATACTAGTGAAGGCGTCCACGACGTGCCAGGCGAGACGCAGGCTGCTGGAGGTGATGAGTTTGCGGATCCAGTCTCTCTTTTGCCTGGGAAATGCAATATTAGAAGCAAACACAAGAGCAGACCTAAGCCTCGGGTGAAGCTCGCTTAGGCTTGTAACATCTAACGCCTTGATGTTCTTAGCCCCTTCGTCGAGCTGAGCAACAACGCAAGCAGGGTCTGAAGAGTGGCGCGTGTTGCCGCTTCCAGAGAAGAAAAAATTATTGCAAACGCGCATAGATTCATATGCCTTTTCGTTGAACTCGCGGTCGAGACCCAGTCGCGTAAGATCCACTGTTCCCTTTAGATCTCCCAACGTGGTCTGCTGCTCGGGTCCCATATGATTAGCTGCTGCTCTTCTCCCGTAGTACGGTGTCTCTTGGAGAAAGGTCTTAGGACAGGGGCCTGACGACCTGCCCGTTTGGTCCATAGTAACCGTAGGAGTTGTGGTGAGTCCCTGGGCTTGACGCAGGAAAACACTTGCGGGAAAAGCAGTTGCCGCCTCTGCACCCTCCATCTGGGGGCAGTCATCACGATCTTCTCCGACGAGCACATACGGGGCTGAGGAGTTTGTGTACTCTGCCATTATCGCTGCAACATCGTTTTCGCCCGCAAATTCATTCAATAGTTCGGCCGCCCTCTGCTTTGAAGTTGCTTGTTGTCCACTGGACACCCCTGCTGTCTCAGGCGCCTCATCGGGGGCACAAAATACGAATACGAGGGTCCAGGAGGCCGTGAACAGGAAAAGGAAAACAAATGGAAACAAACGGTGAGCCATCATGGTTTACCGATGGGAAATCCACGAACGCGCAAACCGGCCATAGCAGTTGGTGGAACGTTCTTGAAACTACTCCGTCCGCACTCTCACGCTCTGATCTAACCCCCTCCCCCCTTCTTCCTCCTTGTAAAAATATAGACGTACAAATATATTTATGTATATATTTCGGGTTTAAAGGGAAGCCGAGCCTGGGCAGCAAGAGACGCCGCCAGCGTTGCCGACGGCGCCCGGGTCACCTGCAGCGGGATTTATGGCGATGTGTTCGGGGAGGAGGAGTGGTGAAGTGTTTCCCCTGAAATATAAAAATAAATAAAAATAAAACTCAAGAGGCCTTTGGCCTTCTAAGGGCAGGCAGACATGGGGGAACAGTCACTGCCAGTCCACTCTGGCTATGGTAGCCGACACGCTCAAAGCCACAGGCAGGGTGCCTGACTGCCTCCGATCCCCAGCTGAAATAGCAGAGAGTTCGTTTCCCAAATCTATTAGTTGCTTTCTCCTGCCAATGCTAGTACTCATATGGATTCAAGCAAGCGCCCAGTCCACTCGTCGTTGCGATGTGCTCCCCCACAGCGGACAGTCGGGGAGTCCATTGTCACGCAAGGTGCTCGAATTCGTCCCAAAAGAAGGCCACAGCTAGTTTCTACTCCAGTTTAATCATATCAGATGCACTTTACAGCAATTATCTCCCCGTTGGTGTCGCCACCATCGCCCGAAACGATCAGCGTTGAGCAATGCCTGTTTCCCGTTGCACAGGCCACATAGTAGGGGGCTACAGAGAATAGATTCTTCGGAAAGAAGCGGTTCATTATTACCTGCCCGTGCATCCGCGCACTATTTATCCCCTCTAAATGGTTTTAAGCGGATTTAGGCCGCCACCAGGAGAGGGAAACAGCACTAAGAAAGGCTGCGCCTGCTCCTCTCAGGCAAGATCTAAACAGTGACTTTCGGCGTTCATCCCCATTGATCGGGGCTCCAAACGTATCTGCCATCATTTGCAGCGGAAAAAAGCAGCACGAACCTCATAGAATTCCGTTGTGGCAAAGCCGCACTGGGGTACCTTGTCCTTCATAACTGCATCACGACCTCTTGCAGCATACGTAAAATAGGAAGGGTTTCCCTGCCATACAGGCTTTTGGTGCTCTTAAGGCGTAGTACACAAATATTACACCAAAACGAACGCAACATATTTAACGAAGCGAGAGGGAAATTGTTTCGCAGACTCAAGTCGAAAAGCGTGGGCGAGATGGTATACTGTGGAAGTGAAGTTGACAGGGCTCAATGGGGTGGACATATGTTCCAAAAGTGGTGGGATCAAACAAGAAATAAACTTTAAAGAGTTGAAATACCTCACGAGTTGAGAAAGGAGTGCAGCACATGTGGAAGCAGCGGTAGTTGACTTGTCAGAAAGGCGTAGACTGGAGAGGAATCGAATCCACGATAAAGTTATTCTGAAGTATAGATGTTGAAATCGCTCCTTTACGACTGAGAGATACACGGGAACCTCTGATAGAGAGAGGCGCATTTTCCCTCAAGAGTTACTAAATGTTCACCAGCAGCGCATGGCATCAACTTGTTCAGAAGGACCAAAGTAAACGTAAGCGTTTGCACAAAATTCGAACAGAAGTCAGAGTAAATGACACGAAAAGTTACAGTTAATGAGAGGAAATCCAGCACCAATGAGAAAAAGTCCACATCAGATCCTTAAGGATGGCACCGGCGATATTTGCAAGCAGGTTCCTTAGACCTCTTTAACTACACGAAGTCCACTAAAAACATAGAAAACATACTTGTAATAGAGCCAACAATAAATGCAATATAAACATACAAATTATATATCTATCAGAGCCAACCATAACTGCAACGTAAACATACAAACTATATATGCTCTAGAGCCAACCATGGCCACTGAAAAACGAACTGGGTATTTCTTTAACCCAACTAAAGCAGTATCGTAAACATAGGAACTGGACGTGTGTTGCAGCCAACCAACGCAACAGTGAATATATACAAAGTATCTGCGTGTAAAGGCTAACCATAACTGCAGAAGTGCAACTTCTACAGCCACCTCAGCTGTTTAGTCCTAGCCGGTCGCAGCACTTGCATTTGCAACAGAACGCAGAGCCCACTTCATGCGGGAGGTGTTTAAGTAAACTACGTCTAAGCGTGCATATGCTGATGAAAATGCGTAAACAAAACACGCAAACGATACTTATGTGCAGTTATATCGCCGTCAGAAACACAAGTTCAACCAGAGAAGAAAGCAGTCCCGATACAGCTCATTGGTGGGCTACATGGCTCAGCGTGGTGTTGTTGCAGCGAAATATCAGGCAAATGCAGTTTGAATATAATTCCTCTATAATTAACAGCTCAAATTAAGTAAAACATAGACGCAGAGCCACAGAAGCGAGCGCTTTCGCTTCATATAGCCACAGAGAGAGGCCGCGGGGCCCCCTGCCTGCGGGTCTGCTGCCGGTTGTCGGGCAACGAAGCGAGGGTTTTGCGCCGTGTCGACTTCAGCTGTTTATTTTGTGATAAGTTATCTTTTTAAGTGTTATTTTCATCTCGTAACAGCCGAGACAACGCTGAAACACGCAGAAAAGGGGGAAAGTGCCTCTCGTCCTTCCCAGACGGCGAACAGCCGCTGTTGGTGTTGCCCGGCTGCCCCCGCTTCCTGTGCATTTTTTTTTCAGCCTTTGTTTGGAAAATCTAATTAATGTGGTTGGCTTGAGGTATTGCTTTAGTTTAAACCTACAAGACGCCTGCGCTGGTCTTCATCTGTTCGAACCGTTGTCGCGACAGCTGCATTTTGATGGATTTCCGCTCTTCTTTTTATCGGATGTCCTTCGCTTTTTATAAACTAAACAGTTGAGGCAAATACTTCCATAGGCTAAAGGCTCGCCTCAACGGCAGCAACAGCGACAGCAGCGGCAGCGGCAGCAGCGAGCCACAGCTTCTGCAACTGCAGGGGGGTGGTCTGAGTTCTGCGGTGTATCGGCGTGTTGTTGTCAACACATTACGGAAAAACGCCATTGATTTGTACTCTTTTTTATTGGGGGGACGGCGCAGCAGCCAGCGGCTCCGGTCTCCCCTGGGCCGTCTTCGGCTCCTTGCGTTTGCTTTGTTTACTCTGGGCTTGCAACAGAGTGGAGGAATACAATGGAAGAGGAGAAGGGAACACAGACTGGGGGTGAGTCGAGCTGGCGTTGCTGTTTGTGCCTTCTCTAGTTTTGTTTTCTTCAGCTAGCTGTTGTACTGTATATACCCCACTTATCTGGCTTTCCAGCGTTACATATGAATGGCTAGTGAGCCGATACACAGCGAAACAGCTATTGTTGAAGCAACAGAACACGAGCATATATCGTGAATATCAACAGAATATAATAAACACAAGAGCGAGCAAGCAACTGACCAATGCATGCGTTGTTCTGTTTGTTTATAGAGGGGATAGAAGGCC